TGCTGGATATTTCCATGTATAGAGTCTCCTGGGTGGCAGATCATAATAAGTATTCGCGACAATAAAATCGGTCTCGTGGCAGAATTGAGCCAATCTGTCTCCTCTCTCGTTACGGGTGCCCAGTCCAAAGTTTCCAATAAAATCACCTTGACTTCCCCTACCGATTTTTGCATTCAGATCTCCCATGACTATTGTAACGTCCTTAGCATTGGTTACTTCTAAAGCTTGTTGTAATTCATTATAAAACTGTTCGAGCTCATCATCTGACTTTTCTGCAGTGGGAGCGTATACTTGAATTATATTGACTCTAGATTGAGCTGTTTTTAGTGTTACCATCATACCTCTATCCGAGATGGGTAAGAAGCCAGTTACAAATTTCTGGGTAGTTTTGTCAACTAATATCGCTACTCCGTTCCAGTAATTTGCGTCGTTGTCATTACCAGAGTAGTATATCTTTGTTTGGCCTACTAATATGTCACCTGAATTGGGCCATCTGGTTTCACTTAGCCCTAATATTTTTATGTCAAGTCTTTCCATTTCCTGAATGACATTATGGACTTACATATCGCACTACCACAACCATTCAAACTGCTCCAACCATGCTTGTGGTAGACCAGTTTCAATCCGATCCAGGATCATTTCATCTAGCTGGTACTGGTGATATATATTATCCTTTACCGGGGATTGATAGGAAATAGGTAACTAGATTTCGCAAGGATAAAGGGATGGGACATGATTTCTCTCAGTAGAGAATTGTAAACATGAATCGTGTGGTCATGGTCGGCAAGCCTTTTCTCTACTGGAATCGTAAAAAAGTGTCTACTTGCTACAAAAAGAATTAAAACCTATTTAAAACAAAACTGAAAATAATTAATGTCAATGGAGCGTCTTGTTTTACTTCTTTACTATCTTTATTTTTTTTTATCACATTATTTTGTTTCACTTAAATTTCTGTATTTTGGAGGGTAAATTTTACCATTCTAATAATATTTCCGCATATTCCCAGAACTTCAAAGCATGCCTGTATCATTCCCTTCTTTTTATTATGCAAAAAGTTTGTTTAAAATCGACAAAGAACCATCCTATTAAAATTTTTGGGAATATGATATGTTTGTCCATTATTTTAGTATTTTTTTTTTATTTTCATAGCCTCATGAATTTCATCAATATTGATTCTGAAAGTCATATATTTTGATTCTGAAAATGAATTTAATTTTAAATTGAACTAAATTAAAAGCTGCTAAAAATATGTGTTAGATCACTCTAAGATTTCTTGTACACTTAAGAGCGATTCAATTAAGATATTCAGTATTAATGAAAGATTTATTTATTACAAACGTAAACCATGCCGGGCTTTTTGTTGGACAGTGTATTTAATCAACGTTTCCGCTATGAGTACGTTTTATTGATTCTGTTAAACTACTGCACAAATGGGATAGACAAATACCCAAAGGATTGGCCTTCAAATGGACTAAGTGCATTTTAATATTGGAGGAACCTTTTTAGCCAAATTCAATTTGTGCTAGTGAAATTGTCTGTAGCTGTTTAATTATAAGTATAGAGTGCAGATCATTGTACATACATACATTCCAAATTGTACATGTTTATTATGTAATATGATTTGTATAAATTAATCATAAGGATATTCTCTACTGTATTTGTTTTGAACTAGATAAGTCATCTGTGTGTTTAAAAACGATTTACAAACAAGCTACAAACCTGAACTACATCATGCCCATAAATGGTCAAAGACTTTGATCTAGGTACTAGCATATTTGTAAATAAAATATTTGTATCAAAACTTACTAAAGTGTTATTAGAGTTGAATTGTGTTTTTCATAATGTATTTTTCACGCTAGGAAAAATATTCTGATTCGGTTTCTTGCACAATCTTACTATTTTTTAAACAAATTTGAAAAATCTCTCTTTTTACCCCAAAAAACGTTTTTTAGGGTTTCTATTTATTCTGAACAAAAAAGTGTCTTAGTAAGTTTTCCCTAAGGTGCGCCGTTTTCGAGTTATAAACGAGTTAATTTATGAAAAAACCCAATAATGACTTTTCAACACATTTTCAACTTGGAAAAACAATATGAAAAAAAAAAACGAAAATTTTGATGTTGGCAAAGGTTGAAAATATTTTTGAAATATCCATTGACAAAATCCTTGTAACATTCTATACGTCACATGTTTGGTATTTTTCGTTTTAAAATGCGCGTTCAAGAATACATTTGCGGTACTAGCCGAGATTAAGGTATTAAGATAATTTATTAGTACACATTAAGTAAACTTAAAGATTTATAGGATACAGAAATTAATCGTAGCTCACCAACTAAGGACTACTAAGCAAAACAAATACTCATTGCACATTTTTGCAAATAGAAAGAACATAAATGGGACATCCTGTGCCTTATAGAAAAACACTGGGCCTGCTCAGATGAAACCAAAAATTGCAGATATCCAGATAGTGGGAGAAATGAATATGGTGTTCATTTCTCCCTCATATTTGTTACACCAAGTTTGAAGATCACTAAAAGCTCAAAAATTAATCAGTAGAACATTGAAATCCTTTCTGCCAGACTAGATAACATCGATACACTCTCCATTTATACAAATTACCAAACCAAAAGTTCTCCTTTAACACATCACTAGATGATGAACCTAAAATTATTATTGGTGACTTTAATAGTCACAGTACATCCTCGGGTTATAAAGAAACCAATAGAAGTGAAGAAACCACTGAAAAACTGGGTTGAAAATAATGAACTTTCTCTCATCCATAACTCAAAACAATGATCATGCTTTAATAGTGGAAGTTAGAAAAGATTATACAATCGAGACCTAATATTTGCTAGTAATGATGTGTGCGTTAAAAAGAATCGTAACCCAATCCCAAACTCTTAACACAGACCCATCATGATTCAAGATAAAAAAAATATTCAAAAAAAAACAATCCCATTCAGGAGACGTTTCAATTTTAAACAAAGTCAATTGGCAAATGTTTTCAGGGAAACTAGATGAATACCTAACATCTATAGAACCATATCTTACAAACTATGATGCATTTGTGAAGGCAATCAAACTGGTGCCAAGAAAGACCATCCGGGGGAATGTAGAACCAACTGTATTACTATAATGGAACACATGGAAACTGTACGAAAACTACTGCCAGTTATAAAAGCACCCTACCTACAGCGAATATTGAATCAGGTGAAGACTTAAGGTCGATTCAGACACATCAGTCACGTTTCGTCACAGTCCTGGTGCCGAACCGAACAATCCGTCATACAAAATATTCTTTAATAGAAATATGGCGCCGGCATTCACATTCATCAGGCGACGAACAGTTTCCCAGCTGTCAGATAATTAATGGTACTGTGACCAAAGAGGACTGGTTCGGCGCCGAGACTGTGACGGGACTGATGTGTCTGAATTGACCTTTAGTGGTGGCAATATGAAAATCTATACGCCAAGCTTGAATGCAACATAAGTATGGCAAACAGTAGCACGAAAGACTGGAAATTAATAAAGAGTCTGGTCGGAGACCAGACGTGGTGACGTAGGTGGACCAGACGTGGTGACCAGACGACGTGACGTAGGTGGACCGACTCTTTAGGAGTCGGTCCACCTACGTCAGTGTAAGTCCAAATCCGATAGCTACATAACTGCTCCAGAACGGTAACCAACGTAAACAAAAACCGCCCCAAGCAGTTTATAAAGAGAGATCAGTACTTGGAACGTAATAAATTCAACCGGACATTTACAATGAATGAACTGAACATCGTCATTACAGAACTTAAGATAGGTAAAGCAGCAAGCCTAGATAACATCAGAAATGAAATCCTTAAGAGTATGAGCAGTTTTTCGAAAACATAGCTATTAAAGCTCTTAAATTAATGTTGAGCACAAGCTAAGATCTCAAAACTATGGCGACGATCTAAAGTGGTAGCTGTGTTAAAACCAGAAAAGGATCCAGACGACGCTTAAAGCTAGCCTCCTATCTTTTTCCCGTATTCAAGATTCAACAATATCCAACTTAGAAGAAAAAAAATAGGGGAAGGAACAGTCAGGCTAAATCTAAAGCAGGAGAAGGCAACATTGATCTAATGGTCGCATGTTATAGTGTTAACCATCGAGTAATCCTGAACAAAATAACAAAAAGTAACAGAATAGTGTAAGTCCTCCGATCACTTCTGACCAACCGACGTTTCCATGTTGAGTTTCAGGGGAAAACAAGTAGATACGACGCGACGCCCAAAAGAACGGAGTACCACAAGGAGAAGTAATCTTACCAGTACTGTTCGATATATAAACTGATAACCAGCCGGTTATCTTGACTAGATAACCGGCTAGATGAAAGAAAATTTTGACTAGGAATCTGTAATCAATAATAATAAAAATTCAGTCGGCTTCATATACTTTGGTCATATTATGAGGCATCTAAAACATATTATCTTTTGGTACATGGTAGAATATGGCAGTCAACATTACATCCAACGATAGACTACGATCATGAAACTAGAATGAGAATAAAGCAAACAGTACGAAAAAGCTCTTAAGTTGTAAATTCGGAATAAATTGTAGAAAATAAATTAAGCAGCCTGAAACAAATCACACCTGAAACTTGTTTCATATATTACAAAATTAAATAATCTACATATATACATATTTTAACTATATATTCCATGTTAAAATCTTTTGTTTTTGTTAAACAATTTCAATTAAAAAATTAACTACTGATATAAACGTAATCGTACATATGAATGTCTAAATATGTTGTAAAAACATATTGTTTTCAGTTATTTCTTTCATATACATTTTCCAAAACGTTTTATTACAAAGTATAGTTCGTCTGCCAATAATTTTTGAAATTTTTCCAAAAATACCCGACGGCGCGTTGAATCCCTGACCTGTGCTCCCAGTCACGAATTTTATTGATAGTCTTACCATACATAACTGTGATTAAAACAATTAATCAACATCGTCAAACATGGAATTAAAATGTCACACATACGTACGGAGCTATTAGAGACAATATTTGAAGAAAGTTAAAGGGAACTTGGGATTTATGATGCGATGTAGTGATTTAAAATAGTGTTTCCATAAATTTATGTAAATAAAAGTATTTTGGCGTATATTTATATAAAAAAGAAGAGGAAATAAACTCAGTTTGTTAAAGTAAAAGGTAAGATATAAAATTATTAGTTTTTTAGAATTATCACTTAGTTGTCTAATGATAGAATGGGAAATGTCATTTTAAAATTGACAATGCTTTATTTAACGTTGTGGTGTTCGGGTCAGTTGTCTTCCTCTTCCCGTGAAATCTTTATTGCTCATTATAGCCTCGGATATTTTATTATAATGTTTTTTGCTTATCCATTTCCTTAATTTTTCCGGTCAGCACTCATTGCTCTCATGTCCTAAATCGTCTTCCTCTTTTTTGTCCAATTTCGTTTATTGTTCTGTATTTTTTCTTTTCTTTGCTCTGTGGGGTTCTTTTATTTTCTAAGTTAAATTATATTGGTTTTTCCTCATTTCTATACCAGCCCAACTGTTTTTCTCTATTTTTCTCTATTTTAATAGATGTGCTTAATTTATATGTTGCCTAATTTTGTCATTTCCGTATCTATCTATTTTAAAAATTCCACCAAGATTTCTAAAAAATTGTATTCTTCTTCTTCCTCATTCTTGTATGTAGGCTTTAAAGAATGTTTCTTCTTCAATATTAGCCTCCTAAATTGTTTAAATTGTCGCACCATCTTTTTGTTGGTCTGCCAATATGTCTCCGTCTATTGTTGTATGTTAATATAGGTCTAATTGCTGCTTTATAGATAGATTATCTTGTTTTTGTGTCTTGTCTTAGGTATTTGTTCTTCCAGATTGTGTCAAACAAATTATTAGACACGTTTTTAGCCTGGTACACTCCAAAAATCGATATGTACCATATAACATAAAGACCTCAAGGTACCGGAGGGACATAGGACAAGTGCATACTCAAACCCCCCCCCCCCCGCTGACTCCTAAAGTATTAGTAATGCAACAAAAATGATAACATAAATACCATCCGTTAAACACAAATGAATCAGATTAAGAATGTAAATATCAATGAATCACATGTACATGAATTTATAGTTTTATTAGTTCTCAACAAACTATCAAATAAAAAATCGATTCTGAAACTTTTATATAGTATAATTATTTTTTCTTTAATTTGAAAGAGTATCCACTAAACATTGACTGGTTATTACGCAAAATATAAATATATCTCCACTGATAGAATATCACTCAATATATATATTGTTTGTATACAAAGGTAGTAATTTTCTTAGAATGACAACTAGAGTGTGGTGGGGTTGCGATGTTAAAACATCTTTATTGTTTTACAGAGATTATTTACGATCCATTATAGATTATGGTGCTACTCTCTATGGTTCTGCGTCTAGAAATCTTCTAAGAAAACTTGACATTTTTCAAAATTCTGCCTTGAGGGTCTGTTTAGGTGCTATGAGATCTACCCCTATACAACCACTACATGTTGAAGTTTATGAGCCTCCTTTTGCGATTAGAAGAAATTTATTAAGCGAAAAATTGGTACTCAAAGCCCACTCAACAAATCCAAAATTATTTTCCAGTATACGTCAACTTAACGAATCAGATCTCACTCACAAATATTGGATTAAAAATCCATCGCCACCTTTGTGCACTGTTTTACAGAACAATTCTATTTTTTCAAAAAATTTGGCCAAAGTGGACAAAAATTTAGACTTCTTTGCTCTCTTTCATAATACCGAAGTTATAATACCCACATACAGTGACAACAACAAAATGAGCAATGAGATCTGTTTTGAATTATTATAGTGATGCAACAGTTATATACAAAGACGCACAAGGGACTGGCTGTGCCTATTTTCTACCCTCAGGAGGTTCTGAATTTAAGTATAAACTTTCCAATGAGTTTTCAATTTTCTCGGCGGGATCATTGGCCATACTCGAAGCTTTGAAATATGGTAAAAACTCTTACACGATTTATTAAAAGTCTCGTATTAAAAAATCGTTAATTCTTTCAGACTTTCTTTCAGTTCTACAGGACATAAAAAACACTTTTTTGCCCAAAACATTTAGTAATCCTTATATTTTTTTAATAAAGGTTTTTTAATAAAGAGGACGAATTGAGAGATATCCCCGGGACAATTAGGATTCTGTAAAGGGAAAGCACAATTGTTGCAATTTTGAGTGTAATCGAAGCATTGAACAACATTGAGGACGAACAACGTTGGGCTACTCTGCTGCTCTTCGTGATGCGGGCATTGAAGGAAAGGGAGTATCCCAACTATCTGAGAACCGTGATGGCGGAATATTTTTTCGAGAGAAAGATCATGGTTGAGAAGTTCATGCTCATTGACGTAACGGCTTGAGACCCTAAGGGATTGGTCTTAGGTCCGATGCTATGGAACCTGGCATATGACGGAGTTATAAACTGCGTTGGGAAGGGTGATGCCTAAGATTGGAGGACGCAAATGAGAAAGAAGGAGGGTCTTACACGGTGTTTTGCAGTCATTCATCCTTTAATCAGTCTGGAGTGGGGCAGTAGTGATACCCACCTACATTAGGCTCATATTACGAGTAAACAAAAGGAGTCTGTTGCGGGTAGCATGCGCCTACAGGACTGTATCTGCGGCGGCCTTGTAGATTATCACAGTTTGTGCTGCATGTGTTAGCAGTAGAAAGGAGACATCTCTATAAGGGAAGAGAGTAATCAGCCATAAAAAAAGAAGAAATTGAAAGATCCACCTTAAAAGAGAGCAAATTAGAGTCGGACCAGGTATTTATTTTAAGTAGATAAGAAGTTATAATTGCATGAGGAGTTGCAATATTAGAGTTCTTCCAGGTAATACTGGTATCATCAACAAGAAAAAAAGTTTTCATCGATTTTTAAATTAGTGTTGTCATTTATAAAGCAGTCTAGACATTGTCTAGTCACATACAATGCTTTTGTGACTAGAGTCAGTCTAACTAGTTGTTTCCTATTACTCAAGTAAGATTGGAACCAAATCAAAAAAATACCTCGAATTCCGTAAAAATTTATTTTTTTATCAAAATGTCGTGATTTACACAATCAAAAGCTTTGGCATAGTCACAAAAAACAGTGGCAGTAGTACTTGATATACTTGATATACACTTCATGTAGTACAGAAAATATAGCATCGATGGTACATTTATTAGATAAAAAGCTGAACTGACTTTGTGATAAAATATTGTTTTCAACGAGAAAGCAGGTTCTGAAAAACTAGTTCCGTGGAAGAGCAAGGTGGTCTATAAAGCAAAGAATGTATAGATTAAGATTCTTGTTATAAACCAATGAAAACTCAAAAAAGAATTCATTCAACAGAAAGTCATATTTTGTTATAGGCGAGAATTTATTATTTGTTGAAAGAATTAGGGTGCCACCATAGGTTGAACTTAGATGATCATACCTAGCAATTGTGGTATATTTTTCTACAAAAAAGGCTCGTTAACTTGAAGCCAGTGTTCGGTAACCACAACAATCGGGGGAAATCCTAATTCCTCTAGAAATAAAAATAATTCATCTATTATATATCTTATGGAACGAATATTAATCAGAACCATGCTAAAATTGTCATCGCTATAATAATTTGAGGTTTCTAGTCCCACAAAACACGTCATATTATTTAAAAATTTCGTTTTGTAGAGGCAACGGAATAGTAGTTTTGTTGACTTTCTTTCGGTCTTCTAACGCTCCCACAATTCTTGCCGCCACTACAGAACTGCTTATTGCAAGACACTGACCGTGACAACACTACAATTTACAATTGATGTTAAAACCATTGAAAAGAAAAGTATCCTGAGAGTGATTTTTAGAAATTAGAGTAAGGGGCTTTTTTATCTCAAACGCTTATCATAACTTTGATGGTACACAAGGCAAATATCGAACACAGTAGTTAATCAAATCTTGCCCAAGTACTTTCGATCACAAGATCATCCTCAGGGGCATTTCGTCAGCTGTGGCCTATCCAGCAGTAATAGAATGTTATAAATGTAAATTGGGACATAACAAATACACTAAACAAAGACAAACAAACACTTTAAAATTTAAGAAATGGAGAAGCTACATTTTATATAGAAGCCGGAGACAGAATGATTCTGTCGAACAACTGACAACAACTGACGAAATGCCCCTGAGGATGATCTTGTGATCGAAAGTAGTTGGACAAGTTTTGATTAACTACTGTGTTCGATATTTGCCTTGTGTACCATTAGAGTTCATTTATTCGAAATTTCAACCTTATATTGGCTTATCATAACAGCAACAAGTTTTTTAAGCAATCCATCAATAAACAACCGAAAATAGTTTTAAAAAAGAATAACAATTTCTAAAATAAATTGAAATTACGGGATGACTTTAATTCTATGCTCGGTAGTAGTAGAACCTTTGTTCTTGGAAAATTATCATTCTCTTTCCTAAGTTCATTAAAAATTTTTTGCGATAATATTAAGTTTTTGTGAAAATTATCATAAGTATGTATATTATGTAGACATTTTGCTACCGTGAGTAAATAACTTATTAACCTAGATTCCTATTACCGGACAGAACTTAGTCACCTTTTTAAACGTTTCCTGCAAGTATAGTACCTGTTAATTCGTTTTATGGCCGGAAGATGTCATTTTCCTTTTATGGTTTAAAGTTTAATGTACAAATAATTACTGCACCTATCTGTAATTTATCTACAATAATACCACCTTATTAAGTAAATTGGTAATTTAATTAAGTCTATTTAACTGGTTATGTAAATTTTTATTTTCGCGATCTTTTAATGGCAACAATAACCGAAAAGAATAAAACGTGTGACAAAAACTTGCAGAATAAAAAAATGGGTTTAATTTGCAATTCAGTTAACATTTATATATATATATAATATATATATATATATATATATATATATATATATATATATATATATTCAAACGGAGGGGTAGTTTTCATTCGCTCTTCACAGTTATCATATCCATCTTAGCCTATCTATTTTTGGGAAGAATATTACATCTTCTTTTATATTTCAAATGTATATTATCTTCTTCATATGCCATTTGCACAAGTTGAATCAAACTCTCTTCTTAAGACCTTGTTTTCGAAGATTAATAGATGATTTTCATTTGTCTTGCAAA